TTGCCGTTGATACGGTCGTGCATCGAGCCACATATCACCCCAGCAATTTCGATAGACGTACGGTTCACCTGAAGATTATAATGATGTGATACCTTCATCTGAACCGATCAAATGATTGATCAAATAATTAAATTTGCCGTTGGCTTTTAAATGTGCGTAGTACATTCACAGGCCCTGGGCCCTGGTTGATATTCGAAGCCGGCGGAAGATCAAGAATACAACTTAAATTGAAAGCAGTGTTGGTGTTTAAGCGATGATGTGTGGGACTTGTAAGCACGCTCATGAACTTGAGTTCACTAGCTGCAAGCATGAGCCGAGAACATGATCAGATCAATCATCCATGGGCATTATCATGATCTGCAGAAAGATTTCTCTTAGCCCGCAAGTAAGATCAGCTAACGTAGCATCCATCTGTTTTAGTCAGCAATCCCATCGTGACGGCGGCTACGAATGCCCTCATATTGCTCGTAAACTTGATTCAAATCATATTTTTAAATTGTACTTTTTCAACTGATTTCGCCTAACTGTGCTCTGTTGAATTTTACAAATTGAATCAACGGCGCAAAAAAAGTTCGTTCGCCTAACTTTTCAGCAGTCATTAGATTCAGCACATACGAATTGCTAAACGTTTAAATTGAATTTACTCAAGAATCCGAAGAAGAAAACCTTTTGCACGAGGTGTTTTGTGTCCTATCTATAGGCCATAATTAGATTTCAGCTTCTTAGCGCTAATCTTTTCACTCACATGTGTAAATTCAACGAATTTGCTGGCTGATTGCAAATCGAATGCGAGAGGGAGAGGGCAAGGAATGTTTACTTACGTGTAGTCAAACAATAATTTGAGGATTTGAAAAAAAATAAACGTTCTCGATTGGTTTAATTTGTTTGTTAAGTTTTTTTGAAAATTGAGAAGGATATCAACGAACGCCGAGCCGATAACCAATTGAATGAAAGCGTGAAAGTTAAGGTGAAATGACTACCGATAGAGAGAAATGGATCAGAAATTAACCGTTGAATCGTCCTTTGAGTTTCACACACGAGCCAGGTTCAGTCTCAGTGTTCGGGCAGATCGAGATTTTAGCACCAACGAAATTCGGATTCATTCCCGCACGTGTCTCGGCGCATCTCTCCGCATATACCGGTATCCTCATACCGCCCTCAACAAATACGATTAAGATTTGAAAAAGCAACCGGTTCAAGATCAGTTTATACCGTAGAATTTCAACTACAAAAAGCGATCGAAAAATAAATCCGTCCAATTAATTTTATGTGCTCTTACTGGACGTTGCCATAGGGCTTGAATTGCTACTAGGCTTGTTATCTATCCTTGCTTTTTTAGTTAGTTCCCATTCAAATGGGAGACTTAATCTGGCAACTGGAGATTTAACAGATAGCAGTAAATGGAGAGCCGATGTTGGATCCAACACCAGGCTTAAGTTCCAGATCTCCCTCAAACTTTCCTACGAAACTCGATGCATATTCAAGTGAGTAATTTGAATATAGACCTCAAGAATAGATAACCTCTCAGCTTAAGAGTGGGTGACTGGAAACGAGATAAAGCGCTCACCTTCCTCAGAACAGCGTATAAATCCGTGATGTTCGAAGGTGTTGGAGGATCCAGTTCGAATATCCGATGATTCGACGGCTCACGAGTGTACGCCAAGCATGAATAGCATGCTACTTGACCTTTGCTTCGACTCTTGAAGTGACTCGGAATAAACGTATG